GCCTGGACCGGCTGGTTGAGGACGAGCTGAATGGCGGGCCAGGGGTGGGAGTGACCCAAATACGACAAACCTCATGGTTGAGATTGTCACTATTGGCAGAAAGCTCCTCAGTCTGGCATGGCCAACTGGGACAGTGTCTTCGATAGCGTGTGTTCAGGGGCTCCTAATCAGTACAGCCAAGCTCGAGATGAGGTTTTGTGGCTGACTGAACTGGGGAGAGCTGAAGGATGCCCCAGTCCGTCACGACACGGCCATTGGATGGCGACCCCGGTTCCTTTCCGCACGTGAACTTGACCCAGCCAGTTCAGCTTCCATTCTGTCTCGGCCCGTGCCGGACGCTGAAGCCCGAATTGGCAACACGCGGGTTCCATCACAAGGGGGGAAAAGGGAGAATGCGTACCAATTGGCGTGGTCCTGGGCCAACCGAGCCTCATCCATTCTGGTCAAGCATGCCACTTCTGCCCACAGGTTGCTGTCGTTCCTTTGAAAACGCCCGTGTTGGCTTTTGAATGGATGCCAAGACCGCGACAACCATTGTGAAGCAGTGCTAACGGTCCTCGTCAAGTTTTTGAACCATTGCTGTCTCGGACAAGACGCCCTGCAAGATTTTGCCGCGTGTGGGCAAATGTAAAATACTAATCCCTTCCTGTGCACAAGAGATCTGCAGGCGGTGCAGCCTGGCATTAAGGACGGTTGACAGAAGCCAAGGTGATGGTGATAGTACGTTGGGCGGCACGCAGAAGCAACACCACAGAGAAGAGAAGGTGAATGTCTGACAAGCACATCAAAATTTGGCCAGGTAGCAAACCTACGAAATGGCACATGACTCCAGGGCTCTATTCGTACAATCTGATAACAGCAAAGTAGGTAAGGTAGGTAGGTAGGTAAGCAACCTGCCTGCCTGCCTGGCTTCCTTCCTTCCTTGCTTGATCCCTACGTGCCTGCCTACTTGCCTGCCTGCCTACTTGCCTGCCTGCCTGCTTGCCTGCCTAACTGCCGGCTTACCTACCTGCCTAACTGCCTACCTTACCTCCCTTTCCGCCTTTCTCACCTGTACCTTCTCTATCCACCACGCCCATCCACCACCCAAGCCAAACAGCCATCGCCAACAGCCTCAATCAATCACCGGTTATCTCGAGCCCTATCTCTCTTTCGCAGGGCCTCTGAGCTATCATTCATGAATCCTTCCGTGTCAGCAGCCGCGGTAGCCTCCTGGCCTGGGCTGTGGCGAGTCTGTCGCTCCTTCCTGGGCAATCTTTTCGTATGTGAGTGCTTTGGCCCGTGGAACCCTCCAGAGGCATGTCGAAATCTATGAGGAATACTAAGTAACTCGGTGTAGTATACAAGCATGAGGGAAAGATGGGGCACTCGGAGTCAAGCACAGCCTTCAACAAGTGCACGAGGATGATCAGTCAATCAACCTGAAAGACCTCAAAGTCCCGAGTATGACTTTAAACTGCTTGGGCTCAGGAAGGCCCTTAAACTTGTACATTGTCCCCAGGGTTTGATCGCCTGGTGGTCTTTTTATTTCACAAAAACTCCCCTTTTCTCCTTCACCCCTTTTCCCCGGCCCATCTCTCTCTTTCGCCATCATCACTCCTCCTCTCTGTCGCCATCATCATTTCCTCCTCTATCATCGCCGCCTCTCTTTGTCGCCAACATCATCATTCCTCCTCTGGTATCATCGCCGCTTCTCTCTGTTGCCATCATCATCACTCCTCCTCTCTGCCGCCATCATAATTTCCCTCCTCTGGTATCATCGCCGCTTCTCTCTTCTGGCATCACTATTACCTCTCCTTCCCGACACCACCATCATTTCTCAATTCCAGTACCATCACCATTCCTCTATTCTCTCACTACCACTGCCTCTGTTCCATGACGCCATCATCACTTCTCTCTTGCGGTGTCATCATCGACGAACAGGCCTCACTCCCAAGCGTGCTCTCGCTGCTTCGGTATCATCACATCTCTAGTACTACAGCCTTCAGTCTACAGGTATTGGCCGGTCCGTTTTTCCTATATTGGTGTTATACGCCGTGTTCTGTGGCAGATGGCTAACTTCTCGGCAGAAACTTGGGAATCATGAGAGACACAGTACCTCCACCTGAAGCAGCCCGAAGACATCATCCTGCTCGCTGATAGTGACCAACGAAATGTGCTTTCATCATGACTTAATACCTTGTCGAACACCATACTCAAACTTCCCGGGCCCGGCAAGTATGCAGAATCACAGTGGTACAAGGACATCATTGCATTCCTAATGTCAACCACGGCCGCCGACGGCTGGAGCAGACACTGGAACAGAGCCATCACAGCCCAGACTACCCATGACAAGATCGAAACGCAAAGCTCCTTCATTGCGCAGGCAAGGGTCTGTGGAAATTGTCTCTGGTTGAGAGTGAAGTGTCGAACGCATTGAAGACCGCCCATGATGATGCGGGGTACTGGAGACCCAATTGCACGAGAAGAAAGCTGGTAACATCAGTGTACTGGCCGACGCATTGAAGACCGCCCATGATGATGCGGGGCACTGGAGACCCAATTGCACGAGAAGAAAGCTGGTAACATCAGTGTACTGGCCGACGCATTGAAGACCGCCCATGATGATGCGGGGCACTGGAGACCCAATTGCACGAGAAGAAAGCTGGTGACATCAGTGTACTGGCCGCGCATGGCATTGGACGTCACTGACTACATCGCCGGCTGCTGGATGTATGCAAGACATTAACCGAACAAGCCCAAAGCACCACCTGTGGACGTACAGGTCTGTGAGCCCTTTCAACTCATGGGCATTGATCACCTGGGACCCTTCCCTGCCACTGTGAGAGGTTGTCGCTACATCCTGGTGCTGCTGGATTGCGAAATGTCGCTCGGCGGATGTTCGGCGGCCGCACTGTCCGGGCACCGCCGCTAAGAAAATTTGACCCGCTCCCGCTTCGCGATGACAACTCGGTAGCCGGATCTCCGGCGGCCGGCGGGCTCAGAAAGATTTTGGTCCCGTTGAAACGGCGACTCCGACGTACGTCGACTTAAAGGCCTGCTGTTGTCGCTCGACTTTTGAAATGACAATCAAGCCCGGTACAGTCACATTCTTTCTGTCTGTCTTCTTTATTTCATTAGCAAACATACACCACCTCCGTTTACAATGGGCTTCAAGGTGATCATTGTTGGAGGCAGTATCTCCGGGCTGTCTCTAGCCAACATGCTGGAAAAGTTCGACATTGAGTATGTTCTTCTTGAAGGCCACTCAGTCATTGCGCCCCAGCTCGGCGCCAGTCTTGGGCTATTGCCGAGCGGCTTGCGCATTCTTGACCAACTTGGTTGTTACGAAAAGATCAAGGAACTTGCCGGCAATACGTACTACTCTGCCAGCATGCGCTTGTTCAGTGGAGAGACATGGGTTGATAAGGAACCCGTCACGTTTTCCGAAAAGCTGGAGGACAGGTATGATTGACTTCCACTCCTGCAAAACCCATTCGTGGAATGAAATCCTATGGCTAACTCGCCACGTCAGAATCGGTTATCCTCAAATATTCATCGACCGCAGGACCGTCATTCAAGTGCTGTACGACAATCTCAAGTTCAAGAATCGAGTCATGACAGACAAACGGGTCACGCGGGTGGATCATCATGAAGACCATGTTGCGGTCCATACCAAGGATGGCTCCGTGTACACCGGTGACATCGTCATCGGTGGTGATGGTGTCCACAGCGCAGTCCGCAAAGAAATGTGGCGCCTGCGTCTGAAGCCAGCCCTGGCCTCTTCAAAGACGATGAGCTCTCTGGTTCGTAACCTACAAGCCACCATTGAGATTATGCATATTCTAACCACATCTGTAGACCTTCAATCCGTATGCAAATGTATTTTCGGCATCTCCGAGAGGCCGAAAGCGGTGTCAACAGGACCGCTGCAAATCAACGCCTTCTTCAAGAATTGCAACTATATGGTCTCACTGCGCCCGACGACCGCTTGTACTGGTTCTTGTTTACCGAAATG